GGGGGGGAAAAGGGGGGACAGGGACAAGGACATGGGGTGGGGACCCCAGGAAGGGCCAGGGATGGGGACACGGGACAAGGAGGGGACAGGAACAAGGGTCCAAGTGGGGACGAGGAGATCCAGGATGGGGACAGAGATGGGGACAAAGGTGGGGACAGGGAGGTCCAGGAGGGGACAAGGACGTGGACAAGGATGGGGACAAGGAGATCCAGGATGGGGACAAAGGTGGGGACAAGGAGGTCCAGGAGGGGACAAGGACGTGGACAAGGATGGGGACAAGGAGGTCCAGGATGGGTCACCAACCAGGGATGGGGACAGGGACATCCAGGACGGGACAGAGATGGGGACAAAGATGGGGACATGGAAGTCCAGGAAGGGACAAAGATGGGGACAAGGATGGGGACAGTGTGGTCCAGGAGGGGACACGGACCAGGGATGGGGACAGGAAGGTCCAGGAGGGGACAGGGATGAGGACAAGGGGTCCATCTGGGGGACAGGGATTGGGGTGGGTCCAGCAAGGGGATGAGGAGGGGGGACAGGAAGGTCCAGGAGGGGACACCGACCAGGGATGGGGACAGGGACATCCAGGAGGGGACAGAGATGGGGACAAGGATGGGGACATTGAAGTCCAGGAGGGGACACACCAGGAGGGGACACGGAGCAGGGATGGGGACAGGAAGGTTCAGGAGAGGACACACATCACGGGTGGGGACAGGGACATCCAGGAGGGGACAAGGATGGGGACAATGTGGTCCAGGAGAGGACACGGAGCAGGGATGGGGACAAGAAGGTCCAGGAGGGGACAGGGATGGGGACAAGGGGTCCAACAAGGGACAGGAGACGAGGACAGGGAACAGGAAGGTCCAGGAGGGGACAGGGATGGGGACAGGAAGGTCCAGGAGGGGACAAGGATGGGGGATGGTGACAGTTGTGGGTCTCCATGAGAGGATGGGGATGGGGAAGGGTCTCCAGGAGGGGACAAGGATGGGGACAGGGAGAAGATGCTGGAAGGGGACAAGGATGGGGACATCATGGCGTCCAGAAGAGGATGGGGATGGGGACAAGGCGGAGGGTGGCAGGATGTTGAGGCCACACAAAGGGGGGCACAACACCGCCGGGGACGCACGGTGATGGTGTTGCCGCTGCGGCGTTGGAGGGCCGGGTGGGCCGGGGGGGGTCCGGGCTCGCGGCGGGGTGCCCCTCTCATGGCCACCGAAGGTCCAGGAGGGGACAGGGATGGGGACAAGGGGTCCAACAAGGGACAGGAGACGAGGACAGGGAACAGGTCCGCCCTCGGCACGCCCCTGAGGGGGTGTCATGGCCGCCGGGGGTGTGGTGGCCGCCACCGGCGTGGTGGGTGGCGTGGTGGCCACGGGTGTCACCACCGTTGGGGTCGCCGTGGGTGTCATGGCCGCCGTGGTGGGCCCAGAGCCCTTGGTTGAACCCTCGGCTGTCGTGGTGCCATCATGGCCATCTACTGTCCCCCCCTGTCCCCCCGGTGTCCCTCGTCCCTCAACCATCTTCCAGCTCTTGACCATCCCCTTGACCGTCCCCTGGCCCTCCGCTGTCCCCAAGTCCTTGGTTGCCCCCTGGGCCTCGACTGTCCCTGGGCTGGTGGCCAACCCGTGGCCCTTGACCGTCCTATGGGTCTCGGCCACCTGCTGTCCCTCAGCTGTCCCCTGGCCCTCAACTGTCCCCAGGTCCTTGGTTGTCCCCTGGGCCTCAGCTGTCCCTGGGCTGGTGGCCACCCCATGGTCCTTGGTGGTCCTATGGGTCTCGACTGCCCTACAGCCTTCAGCTGCCCCCCGTCCCTCAACTGTCCCCACCGTGCCCTTGGCTGTCCCCCATGTCTCAACTGTCCCCATGTCCTTGGTGGTCCCCTGGCCCTCAGCTGGCCCGGCGCTGGTGGCCAACCCATGGCCCTTGACTGTCCTACACCCCTCAACCGTCCCTTGTCCCTCAAGTGTCCCCAAGCCCTTGGCTGTCCCCCGTCCCTCAACTGTCTCCAGCTCCTTGGTTGTCCCCAGACCCTCAGCTGTCCCCAGGCTGGTGGCCAACCCATGGCCCTTGACCGTCCTACAGCCCTCGGCCGTCCCCTGTCCCTCGGCTGTCCCCACCCCCTTGGTTAAGCCCCATCCCTTGACCATCCCAAGGCCCTTGAGTGTCCCCCGTGTCTCCACTGTCCCCAGGTCCTTGGTTGTCCCCTGTCCCTCCACCGCCCCCGGGCTGATGGTCAACCTGTGGCCCTCAGCCGTCCTACAGCCCTCGGCCACCCCCTGTCCCTCCGCTGTCCCCACACCCTTGACTGACCCCCGCGTCTTGACCGCCCCCAGGTCCTTGCTTGTCCCCAGACCCTCTGCTGTCCCTGGGCTGGTGGCCAACCCATGGCCCTTGACCATCCTATGGGTCTCGGCCACCTGCTGTCCCTCAGCTGTCCCTTGTCCCTCAACTGTCCCCGCGCACTTGACCGCTCCCCGTGTCTCAACTGTCCCCACACCTTTGGTTGCCCCCACACCCTCAACTGTCCCCACGCTGGCGGCCAACCCATGGCCCTTGACCGCCCTATGGGTCTCACCCCCCTGCTGTCCCTCAGCTGCCCCCACGCCCTTGACCACCCCCCGCGTCTCAACTGTCCCCACGCCCACCCTTGTCCCCAGACCCTCAACTGTCCCCAGACCCACGGCCGACCCACACCCCTTGACCCCGCCGTGGGTCTCAGCCCCCCCTTGCCCCTCCTCCTCCTCCTCCTCCTCCTCCTCCCTGGCGGCAGGATGGCGGTGGGGGGAGGTCCCGGGGGGGCTGTCGGGGAGCCCCTCGGTGCTGAGCGAGCGGGCGGGGGGCCGTGGGGCGAAGCGGCTGAGGAGGCGACTGACGCGTCCCCGGGGGGGCTCGTGGAGGGACCAGGGATGGAGTTGGAGCAACCAAGGATGGGGATTGAGGGACAAAGGATAGGGATAGTGGAGGAACTAGGGGTGGGGATCGAGGAACCAAGGATGGGGATTGAGGGACAAAGGATAGGGATGATGGAGGAACGAGGGATGGGGATTGAGGGACCAAGGGTGGGGATGGTGGAGGAATCAGGGATCGGGATTGAGGGACTGAGGGTGGGAATGGTGGAGGAACCAAAGATGGGGATGGAGGAGGAACCAAGGATGGGGATTGAGGGACCAAGGATGGGGCTGGTGGAGGAACCAGGGATGGGGATCGAGGGACCAAGGGTGGGGACTGAAGGACAAAGGATAGGGATGATGGAGGAACCAGGGATGGGGATCAAGGGACCAAGGATGGGGATTGAGGGACCAAGGATGGGGATGATGGAGGAACCAGGGATGGGGATCGAGGAACCAAGGATGGGGATGGTGGAGGAACCAGGGATGGGGATCGAGGAACCAAGGATGGGGATGGAGGGACCAAGGATGAAGATGGAGCAACCAAGGATGGGGATTGAGGGACCAGGGATGGAGATGGAGCAACCAAGGATGGGGATTGAGGGGCCAGGGATGGGGCTGGTGGAGGAACTAGGGGTGGGGATCGAGGAACCAAGGATGGGGATGGTGGAGGAACTGAGGATGGGGATGGAGGGACCAGGGATGGAGATGGAGCAACCAAGGATGGGGATTGAGGGACCAAGGATGGGGATGATGGAGCAACGAGGGATGGGGATTGAGGGACCAAGGGTGGGGATGGTGGAGGAACCAAAGATGGGGATGGTGGAGGAATCAGGGATGGGGATTGAGGGACCAAGGATGGGGATTGAGGGACCAGGGATGGAGATGGAGCAACCAAGGATGGGGATTGAGGGACCAGGGATGGGGCTGGTGGAGGAACTAGGGGTGGGGATCAAGGGACCAAGGATGGGGATTGAGGGACAAAGGATAGGGATGATGGAGGAACGAGGGATGGGGATTGAGGGACCAAGGGTGGGGATGATGGAGGAACCAGGGATGGGGATTGAGGGACAAAGGATAGGGATGGTGGAGGAACCAGGGGTGAGGATCAAGGAACCAAGGATGGGGATGGAGGGACCAGGGATGGAGATGGAGCAACCAAGGATGGGGATTGAGGGACCAGAGATGGGGCTGGTGGAGGAACTAGGGGTGGGGATCAAGGGACCAAGGATGGGGATGATGGAGGAACCAGGGATGGGGATTGAGGGACCAAGGATGGGGATAATGGAGGAACCAGGGATGGGGATTGAGGGACCAAGGATGGGGATGGAGGGACCAGGGATGGAGATGGAGCAACCAAGGATGGGGATTGAGGGACCAGGAATGGGGCTGATGGAGGAACCAGGGATGGGGATTGAGGAACCAAGGATGGGGATGGTGGAGGAGCCGAGGATGGGGATGGAGGGACCAGGGATGGAGATGGAGCAACCAAGGATGGGGATGATGGAGGAACCAGGGATGGGGATTGAGGGACCAAGGGTGGGGATGGTGGAGGAACCAGGGGTGAGGATCGAGGAACCAAGGATGGGGATGGAGGGACCAGGGATGGAGTTGGAGCAACCAAGGATGGGGATTGAGGGACAAAGGATAGGGATAGTGGAGGAACTAGGGGTGGGGATCGAGGAACCAAGGATGGGGATTGAGGGACAAAGGATAGGGATGATGGAGGAACGAGGGATGGGGATTGAGGGACCAAGGGTGGGGATGGTGGAGGAATCAGGGATCGGGATTGAGGGACTGAGGGTGGGAATGGTGGAGGAACCAAAGATGGGGATGGAGGAGGAACCAAGAATGGGGATTGAGGGACCGAGGGTGGGGCTGGTGGAGGAACTAGGGGTGGGGATCGAGGGACCAAGGATGGGGATGATGGAGGAACCAGGGATGGGGATCAAGGGACTAAGGATGGGGATTGAGCGACCAGGGATGAGGCTGGGGGAGGGACTAGGGGTGGGGATCGAGGGACCAAGGATGGGGATGATGGAGGAACCAGGGATGGGGATCAAGGGACTAAGGATGGGGATTGAGCGACCAGGGATGAGGCTGGGGGAGGGACTAGGGGTGGGGATCGAGGGACCAAGGATGGGGATGATGGAGGAACCAGGGATGGGGATCAAGGGACTAAGGATGGGGATTGAGCGACCAGGGATGAGGCTGGTGGAGGAACTAGGGGTGGGGATCGAGGGACCAAAGATGGGGATGGAGGAGGAACCAAGAATGGGGATTGAGGGACCGGGGATGGGGATTGAGGGACCAAGGATGGGGATGGAGGGACCAGGGATGGAGATGGAGCAACCAAGGATGGGGATTGAGGGACCAGGAATGGGGCTGATGGAGGAACCAGGGATGGGGATTGAGGAACCAAGGATGGGGATGGTGGAGGAGCCGAGGATGGGGATGGAGGGACCAGGGATGGAGATGGAGCAACCAAGGATGGGGATGATGGAGGAACCAGGGATGGGGATTGAGGGACCAAGGGTGGGGATGGTGGAGGAACCAGGGGTGAGGATCGAGGAACCAAGGATGGGGATGGAGGGACCAGGGATGGAGTTGGAGCAACCAAGGATGGGGATTGAGGGACAAAGGATAGGGATAGTGGAGGAACTAGGGGTGGGGATCGAGGAACCAAGGATGGGGATTGAGGGACAAAGGATAGGGATGATGGAGGAACGAGGGATGGGGATTGAGGGACCAAGGGTGGGGATGGTGGAGGAATCAGGGATCGGGATTGAGGGACTGAGGGTGGGAATGGTGGAGGAACCAAAGATGGGGATGGAGGAGGAACCAAGAATGGGGATTGAGGGACCAGGGATGGGGCTGGTGGAGGAACCAGGGATGGGGATCGAGGAACCAAGGATGGGGATGGAGGGACCAGGGATGGAGATGGAGCAACCAAGGATGGGGATGGAGGGACCAGGGATAGGGATGGAGGGACCAAGGGTGGGGATGGTGGAGGAACCAAAGATGGGGATGGAGGAGGAACCAAGAATGGGGATTGAGGGACCGGGGATGGGGATTGAGGGACCGAGGGTGGGGATGGTGGAGGAACCAGGGATGGGGATCAAGGGACTAAGGATGGGGATTGAGCGACCAGGGATGAGGCTGGTGGAGGAACTAGGGGTGGGGATCGAGGGACCAAAGATGGGGATGGAGGAGGAACCAAGAATGGGGATTGAGGGACCGGGGATGGGGATTGAGGGACCAAGGATGGGGATGGAGGGACCAAGGATGGGGATGGTGGAGGGGCCAAAGATGGGGATTCAGGGACCGAGGGTGGGGCTGGTGGAGGAACCAAGGATGGGGCTGGTGGAGGAACCAGGGGTGGGGTTGGAAGAGCCACCAAGGATGGGGTTGGTGGAGGAACCAGGGGTGGGGTTGGAAGAGCCACCAAGGATGGGGTTGGTGGAGCCACCGGGGGCGGGGACAGTGTTATGAGGACACTGAAGCCATCAGGGATGGGGCTGGTGGAGCCACCAGAGATGGGCATGATGGAGGTACCAGGGATGGGGACTGGGATGGTGGAGCCATCAGGGACAAGGGGTGGTGTTAGAGGGACACTGGAGCCTCCAGGAATGGGGACAGGGGCCACCAGGGATGGGGACGGGGGGACAGGAATGGTGGAGCCATGGGGGACAGGGATGAGGGACAGTGAAGACACCAAGGATGGGGACGCTGGAGCCACCAGGGATGGGGACAAGGGATGCCAGAACCACCAGGGATGGGGCCAGAGGGATGGTGGTGCCATCAGGGACGAGGGCCACCAGGGATGTGGACAGAGATGTTGGTGCCTCCTGGGACTGAGGGACACCACAACCACCAGGGATGGGGACAGCGGCCACCAGGAATGGGATAAGGGATGTTGGAGCTACTTGGGACAAGGGCCACCAGGGCCACCAGGGCTGGGGACAGGGGCCACAAGGAATGCGATAAGGGATGCTGGAGCCACGTGGGGACAAGGGCCACCAGGGCCACCAGGGCTGGGGACAGGGGCCACAAGGAATGCGATAAGGGATGCTGGAGCCACGTGGGGACAAGGGCCACCAGGGCCACCAGGGCTGGGGACAGGGGCCACAAGGAATGCGATAAGGGATGCTGGAGCCACGTGGGGACAAGGGCCACCAGGGCCACCAGGGCTGGGGACAGGGGCCACAAGGAATGCGATAAGGGATGCTGGAGCCATGTGGGGACAAGGTCCACCAGGGCCACCGGGGATGGGGGACCAGGATGTTGGTGGCCACTGGGACTGGGGGCCACCAGGGCCACCAGGGCTGGGCAGGAGGGCCACCAGGGCCACCAGGGCTGGGCAGGAGGGCCACCAGGGCCACCAGGGCTACCAGGGATGGAGACAGGGATATTGGAGCCACTGGGATGGAGGCCACAAGGGTCACTGGGGTTGGGGGCCACCAGGGTCAGGGATGTTGGTGGACGCTGGGACTGGGGGCCACCAGGGCCACCAGGGATGGGAAGAAGGGCCACCAGGGCCACCAGGGCTACCAGGGATGGAGATGGTGATGTTGGAGCCACTGGGATGGAGACCACAAGGGCCACCAGGGCCACCGGGGATGGGGGACCAGGATGTTGGTGGCCACTGTGACTGGGGGCCACCAGGGCCACCAGGGCTGGGGACAAGGGCCACCAGGAATAGGATAAGGGATGTTGGAGGCACTTGGGGACAGGGGCCACCAGGGCCACCCGGGATTGGGGACAGGGATGCTGGTGACCACTGGGACTGGGGGCCACCAGGGATGGGGACAAGGGCCACCAGGGCTACCAGGGATGGAGACAGGGATATTGGAGCCACTGGGATGGAGGCCACAAGGGTCACTGGGGTCAGGGGAGAGGGACCAAGGATGGGGATGGAGGGACCAAGGATGGGGATGGTGGAGGGGCCAAAGATGGGGATTCAGGGACCGAGGGTGGGGCTGGTGGAGGAACCAAGGATGGGGCTGGTGGAGGAACCAGGGGTGGGGTTGGAAGAGCCACCAAGGATGGGGTTGGTGGAGGAACCAGGGGTGGGGTTGGAAGAGCCACCAAGGATGGGGTTGGTGGAGCCACCGGGGGCGGGGACAGTGTTATGAGGACACTGAAGCCATCAGGGATGGGGCTGGTGGAGCCACCAGAGATGGGCATGATGGAGGTACCAGGGATGGGGACTGGGATGGTGGAGCCATCAGGGACAAGGGGTGGTGTTAGAGGGACACTGGAGCCTCCAGGAATGGGGACAGGGGCCACCAGGGATGGGGACGGGGGGACAGGAATGGTGGAGCCATGGGGGACAGGGATGGGGGACAGTGAAGACACCAAGGATGGGGACGCTGGAGCCACCAGGGATGGGGACAAGGGATGCCAGAACCACCAGGGATGGGGCCAGAGGGATGGTGGTGCCATCAGGGACGAGGGCCACCAGGGATGTGGACAGAGATGTTGGTGCCTCCTGGGACTGAGGGACACCACAACCACCAGGGATGGGGACAGCGGCCACCAGGAATGGGATAAGGGATGTTGGAGCTACTTGGGACAAGGGCCACCAGGGCCACCAGGGATGGGAACAAGGGCCACCAAGGCTACCAGGGATGGAGACAGGGATGTTGGAGCCACTGGGATGGAGGCCACAAGGGCCACTGGGGTTGGGGGCCACCAGGGACAGGGATGTTGGTGGCTACTGGGACTAAGGGCCACCAGGGATGGGGACAAGGGCCACCAGGGCTACCAGGGATGGAGACAGGGATATTGGAGCCACTGGGATGGAGGCCACAAGGGCTACCGGAGTTGGGGGGCCACCAGAGGCAGGGATGTTGGTGGCCATTGGGACTAGGGGCCACCAAGGCCACCAGGGATGGAGACAGGGATGTTGGAGCCACTGGGATGGAGACCACAAGGGCCACCAGGGCCACCGGGGATGGGGGACAGGGATGTTGGTGGCCACTGTGACTGGGGGCCACCATGACCACCAGGGCTGGGGACAAGGGCCAGCAGGAATGGGATAAGGGATGTTGGAGCCACTTGGGGACAGGGGCCACCAGGGCCACTGGGGATGGGGGACAGGAATGTTGGTGACCACTGGCACTGGGGGTCACCAGGGATGGGGACAAAGGCCACCAGGGCTACCAGGGATGGAGACAGGGATGTTGGAGCCACTGGGATGGAGGCCACAAGGGCTACCAGGGTTGGGGGGCCACCAGAGACCGGGATGTTGGTGGCCACTGTGACTGGGGGCCACCAGGGCCACCAGGGCTGGGGACAAGGGCCACCAGGAATAGGATAAGGGATGTTGGAGGCACTTGGGGACAGGGGCCACCAGGGCCACCCGGGATTGGGGACAGGGATGCTGGTGACCACTGGGACTGGGGGCCACCAGGGATGGGGACAAGGGCCACCAGGGCTACCAGGGATGGAGACAGGGATATTGGAGCCACTGGGATGGAGGCCACAAGGGCTACCGGAGTTGGGGGGCCACCAGAGGCAGGGATGTTGGTGGCCACTGTGACTGGGGGCCACCAGGGCCACCAGGGCTGGGGACAAGGGCCACCAGGAATAGGATAAGGGATGTTGGAGGCACTTGGGGACAGGGGCCACCAGGGCCACCCGGGATTGGGGACAGGGATGCTGGTGACCACTGGGACTGGGGGCCACCAGGGATGGGGACAAGGGCCACCAGGGCTACCAGGGATGGAGACAGGGATATTGGAGCCACTGGGATGGAGGCCACAAGGTCCACTGGGGTCGGGGGCCACCAGGGACCGGGATGTTGGTGGCTACTGGGACTGGAGGCCACCAGGGCCACCAGGGATGGGAACAAGGGCCACCAGGGATGGAGATGGTGATGTTGGAGCCACTGGGATGGAGGCCACAAGGGCCACTGGGGTATCAGGGGCCACCAGGGACCGGGATGTTGGTGGCTACTGGGACTGGGGGCCACCGGGGCCACCAGGGATGGGAACAAGGGCCACCAGGGCTACCAGGGATGGAGACAGGGATGTTGGAGCCACTGGGATGGAGGCCACAAGGGCCACTGGGGTATCAGGGGCCACCAGGGATAGGGATGTTGGTGGCCACTGGGACTGGAGGCCACCATGACCACCAGGGATGGGAACAAGGGCCACCAGGGCCACCAGGGATGGAGATAGGGATGTAGGAGCCACTGGGACCGAGGCCACAGGGGCCACCAGGGCCACCGGGGATGGGGGACAGGGATGTTGGTGGCCACCTGGACTGGGGGCCACCAGGGCTGGGGTGAAGGACCCCCCCGGAGGGGACACGGGGAGGGGGACGCTTGAGGAACATCACCCAGACCTTGTCACCCGCTCAACGCTTCCGGCCCCTGACAGCCCCACACGCAGCCATGGGGGGGGCGGAGGG